GTCTTCCTTGTGGCATATGGCTTGTGGCACTTCTTTCTTAAATACCTAAATGTATCATAACAAATAATGATCTACAGAAAACAAACTAAAATTCTAGAACTTCTGTGGTTAGCTGCACTTTATGAAAGTGGTGAAGTAGTGTTCTTTCTGTGGTTTTAATGCTGTGCCACCATCACAAGAAAATATCATTGTTCAAAATAATGCTTTGTTCCTATGGTATAGTTTTCATCAAATGAGAGACCTCCCAGTAAGTAAATGGCATGCTAAAAATACATTTGGATTTGATAAGGAGTAAGGAACAGTATCTAATTTGTAAGCATTTATCTTGTATAATATATTGGAATATTTGTCTGTGTTTTAGGTAAATATTTTTACTTTCAAAAAAGTTAATTGTTTTTCATGAGTGTGGTTCTGAATTTGAAGCATTGCTTTCTTCCCAGAGGGCAGAAAATTTAATATGCTATTGATAAGTATATCCATATTATTTGTGATAAAGGTAAGTTAAAGAAAAATTTTGCATCAGGAGCCCAATATGAAAATAAGAGTGTGAATTAATGCATCTATCAAACAATTGCATCTTGTTGGTTATGTAGTGAGTTAGATTCATTTCTGGTAAATCATGTTAAGTAACAGGAAATTATTTTATCAGGATGTACAGATAGTAACAGGTGCTTCATTTGTTTAAATATCCAGTAATTAGTAACTGGCTTATTTAGAAACCTGTATTGTGGTAACAGGCTGCTTTGCTAACTTTAAAATATAACTGATCATGTAACGTAAGAAGCTTAAGTAGCTTTAATATTACAGGTACTTCTAAGAGTAATTTCAGAACACCGAAGATGGTGACATTCAATTCCTGTTATTCTTAGTGCTGAGAATTCAGAGGGTGGTTACAGTGGAACCAGTAGGCAAAACTGGTTGCAAAGTCATTTCCACTTGGCACAGAGAATGTCATTCCAGAGCGCACTGGGGAGAAGAGCTTCCACAGGCCAGGGTGTGCATTTGGCCTCTGGTAGACAAGGTGCAGTGTCCCCTCTTCTGAACCAAAGCCAAGATACCACTTTTGTAAAAAATAATTTTAAACAGAGGTTCCAATTAGGGATTGGAATGAACCTCTGTTCATTTTTCATGAAAAGGCACATGATAGGTAGGAAAGAGACTGGTGCAGGTAATCTGATGTAGGCTATGAAAAAAACACAAGTATGTGACTAGGAAAAAAGATAAAAGTCTGAAAGCCTCTGCTGGGAATCAGTATCAGAACCAGAACTCTTCTGATTATTTTTAAATGTAATTTTATGATTCTCTGCTTTCAGGTGAGGTGAGCTTTAAAGAAAACCTGAAATACCACCAGCGATAATTTATAAGAATGTTGAGAATTTGTGCAATACAGTATTTATCAAGTATTTTCAGCACTTCAGCTGTTATGTTATAAAATATCAGGATACTGTGATCTCACTGATTGTGTTTGATGTATTAGAAATTTTTTGATCAGTATTCATTAAGGTTACATAAGGTTATTCTTTCCTGCTGTAGTTTACCATGGCGTGTGCTGTTAAACCAGTATCAGAAACTGTGTTGTGTTTCTGTCTGGATCTTTTGTACCTGGCAGCATATTCCTTATTTGTATTACAGGAATGTCTGTTCAGCCCACTGGGGCTTGATGATAAGTGAGGCACGTAGTGGAGGAGGATCCTCATGTGGAGAGCCTATAGCAGACATGGGCAAGCTGGGAGATGTGGCGTGAGAGACACAGAGAGGTGAAGAATGAAGTCTTAGCAGTGTTCACCCAGTGTGGGTAGAACAGAGCTCAGCTCTGTCTGTTGAGCCAGGTGTCCTGTCAGGGGATGAATTATGGTAGTGGAAAATCTTGTGCATTTGTCAAGATTAGTATATGATATCAAGAACCATCTTTAGATTTTATCACTGATCAAAAAAGAAAGGACAAACAACTTGAGGAAGAGATGAGTACAAAGCTTCCTGCAGATTCTTGAAGCTATTCCATAGTTTATTGGTAAAACCAGTTTGCAGGTTTCAAAGTGACGGCAAGATTTATTCCACTATGGGAAATGTAGAGGAATGTCAGATTTTACTTTACAATTTACATGTGCAAAAAACTCAAGAAGAGGCACTGTGTGCTGATATTCCACGTGGAAACAGCCAGGGTGTAGTGCAGTACAGGTAGTACAGAGAGCCAAGTAAGTATTAGCTTCCTGTGGGTTTGAAAATGGTGACTTTGAGTGAGATACTGATACAATATTCATATAACCTTTGCATAATACCAGTTACCTATCAGACTGTATTTCTGACCTGCACCTCCCAGGAAACGAATACTTACTCCAGTGCAAAATTTCTTATTCTGCAAAGCTTGACAACTTCGTCTGAGATCACTCTAAGCCACTTGGCCCTTGCTTAAATATTCATCAGACTTCTGATAATTGTGATAACCCTTGTGGGCTGGCAAGCAAGGCAAATTAGCAAAAAGATGATTGATCTTTTTTTATATGCAGTTTTATCTTCAACCTTTCCTGGATATATGTTATACTATAGTAATAATTTCTTCTCTAAGGTATTTGCCAGTATCTAGATTTGCACATCTATTTACAGTTGCCTTGAAGCCTCATAATTACAATACAGCTGAAATGTCCATTTTCTTTCCCTGACTACAAATAGGGATCAATCGAATTTTAAATGACTGCTCACGGGCTAGCTTCCGATCATGACCTTTGTAAATGATTAGAGCTCACCACTGTTGCTATCTACCTTGAAAGGGTAAGCGGGCAGCTCTGTCTAACTGGCATTTAATCTGGAACAGAGCCAAAGATATTTGAGCTAAAAACCTAATACGAGTTGGCAAAGAGAAGTATGTATAGACCTTTGCACTATTATTTAGATATTTATCTACATTTCTTTTTTGTATTTAGGAAATTCTTTTACCGTGTGGATGAGATATGTATTTTTAGGTAATGTTATACTGAAGTTATGATAATAAATATGTAGCATAAAAGTGTGAAAAATGGGGTTTCAAACTCTAAATGACTGAATTCAATTTTCTGAAGAATATGAAAATACAAAATGGTTTGGTTTGGGAGGGATCTTCGAGATCATCTTGTGCACCCCTTGCCATGAACAAAGACACTCTTTGCTGCCTTAGGTTGCTCTGAGCCCTGTCCAGCCTTGGACACTGCCAGGGTGGGGCAGCCACAGCTTCTCTGGGCAGCCTGTGCCCGAAACTCAGCACCTCCCAAGGAGGATTTTTTCCTTCTATCTAATCCAAATCCACACTCTTTCAGTGTGAGGCCATTTCCTCATGTCCTGTCACTCCAGGCCCTTGTCCAAAGTCCCTCTCTGCCTTTCTTATCAGCTCCCTTTAGGCACTGAAAAGCCCCAGTGAGGTCTTTCTGGGCTTTCTGTTCTCCAGGCTGAGCCTTCCCAGTTCCAGCTCAGTGCTGTCAGGATGCTGAGGCTGTGCTTGGTCCCAGTGCCCACATCATGGACAAAGGTGGGAAAAGTGCCCATGGTGGTTGGCAGTGGCTGAGCCTGAGCCCTGGGCTGCCCAGGGGGGCAAGAGGCCAATGGCACCCGGCCTGTACCAGCAGCAGGGTGGGCAGCAGGACCAGGGCAGTGCCTGCCCCTCTGCGCTGGGCACTGCTGCTCTGGGCCCTGGTGCCCCTCGCTGGCTCCAGCTCCTTGGTGCTGCCTCCAGGGCTCTCTGGGTCACCTGCCAGCCCTCCCTGGCCCTGGGCTGTGCTGGAGCCTGGGACACTCCCTGGCCAGCCTGTGACCAAAGCTGTGTTGGCTGCTAAACGAATTAATCTGAGAACTGCACTGAAGAAGAGGCATGAGGTGGATCTGCTTTTTCTGGACAGAGATGGATGGAGAAAAGACATTCCACACTGGCACATTTTTGCTTAAACCTCATTTCCTTTTAGCATTGGTTGAGATAGTTCAGGCCCTGCTTTTATGTGCAGATCATGTGTAGGTAATGGCTGAGACACTTCTATCTCTGCTTGTCAGTTCAGTTTCATTTTAATAAGGAATTTTGCCTGTATCATTCAATGCTTTTATTACCACCACTGAATTTCTTGAGGTGTTGTTCTGTGCACTGGTGCTGAAGTGGGAACAAGAATAACATCAGTGGGACTAGGAAGCAAACACCTCTCAGTTTATTGATAGATTTTGCTAACCTAACTTTTAAGATTTAATAGGAATCATTGCTAAGAGCTATGAATGCTTTTATCTAATTAAGATAATATGCTGTGTTGCCTAATCAATTATTCCTGTGTGGTATTGATCAGAATATTTATTAGTGTTCCTGGGAGTATGACACTTACCGTTAACACTCTGAAAGAATTATCCAGTTTATAGTGAATATGCAATCTTGCCTCTCTGTTGGCCAGAGAATTTTCTCCTATTTTCTGTGATGTGCTATATTGTTACATAATGCAGCTGGCAGCTGCTTCAAACTAGTCAAATGTATTCTTACCTAAAACGTAATCCAGAAAACACTTGTAAATTCAATTTGTAAAGGTTTTGTGTCAGCATTACCTTTGGCTAGCATTTAGATAGAGATATACTATTGATTAATATAGTTCTAAGAAAACATCAAGTATGTTTGAAATTCAAAATAAATATTCAATATAAATATAAGATAAAAAATGGAAATTTAAAGATTTGAATTGGTATTTACATTCTTCATATCAATCTTAAACTGGAGATGTGTAGTTAGTATATAGTACTTGCTAAGGCAGTTTTAAATGAAAAGGATGGTGTTTTTGAAAACAGGTGAAATATTTGGCAGCAGAAATCTTGTGAAAAGTCACAAGAACTTCAGTATCTTCATTATTGCTCTATGGCCAAGCTGCTAAAATAGTGCTGGGAGCAGTAAAATGCTCTTGGGGATTGCTCACATGTGACTTCTGCCTGATGCTTGCAGGTCTGAAGATAACTTTTTGCTAAGGCAACAGAATAAAAACTAAAGAGGGTTCTTTCCCTGTGTGCAGATGCAGCAGCAGGAGCTGGCCCAGATGAGGCAGAGGGATGCCAACCTGACAGCCCTGGCAGCCATCGGCCCCCGCAAGAAGCGGAAGCTGGATGCTCCTGGCCTGCTCACCATGGGAGGAGAGGTAAGTGTGCACCCAGAGCAGGGAAAGCCCTGCTGCAGCACCTCCCAGGAACAGCTGGAGCTCTGCTGCAGGGAGGTGTGTCACTTGGAAATGCACATCAGCACGGCAATCTTACAACGCCATCTCCTTGTAGTTGTATTTTCAAGTGTGAATTTTCAGCAGATCAGTGAAGAATGTTTTTTAAATAGTTGAATGTGTAGGTTTTAAACTGTTCACTGCCTTCATATTTGTTTTCTCCTCTGCATAATCTGAAAAAACCTAAAAAGAGTAGGAAATGAAGAAGTATTTGAAAAAACATAACTGTAGTCTTTCTTACAGTTTGAACCAATAAATTGTGGTAATACCAGTGTGGTATGGACAATATGTGTCCAAACATCTTCTAAAATGTCAAGGTGTCCCCCACAACTGCAAAGATGAGTTTAGAATCATGCTAAATTGTAATTTCCAGAAGAATACTGTGCTCTAGAAATAGGATCAGATTCATTAGCGTGATTCTCCTGATATTGTATGTGGAGAAGTAGCTGTGCTACACAATAAATGCAAAATTGTTGAAAGCCTGATCTATATTAAGCAAGGTGGAGAAGGAGGGTGCTGTGGTGCTCTGCTGTGGGTGGCTCTGTAAGAGCACTGTATTGTTTGGTACAGATACACTTGGGCTGCTTTTCCTTCTGCTGAGTCTGCCCACGCAGTGGAGTCAGAGGAATTCTCCCTATTACATGCCTGTTCTGAGGAAAATGCAAACATTTTGTTTTGAATAGCTAAACTAACAGTTTTGGCTCAGACATTTGACTGTCTAAATGCCAGGCATTTCCAAAGGCCTTTTTGTTTCCCATTTTGGATAGCTTTTATCTGACTTCTCTTTCTTTTTTCATGTGCTAAGATTAATGCTAGGGAATTAGCTGAGCTAGGAACAGAAGTGGATCCTTTTTACACTCCAAAATTGACTTAGGACTTCAGATACGTAGGAGGTGCTCCCGTTTCTGGTGACGTTTATTTCAGACTGAGGGAGTTTCTCAGGTTTTCTGTTGTCCTGTTATTCCCTTCCTTTCAGTCTCCCTCCTTTATCTTAAATTCAGTTAAGAATTCTGTTCTCCTCCACATGCACGTGTAACAAATCTCACAGCAACGGGCCCAAAGATGCTTTTATTAGAAGCTCGACTGGGTGGTTATAGCTTTGGCTTTCCCTCATGTAAAAATAATTTGAACCTTCTAATAATACATGGATCCCTTCAGATTTTAACACTTCACCAAGGGAATATTTTATCTTGAGGGACAGAATTTAATTTTTATTGTCTGTTCCCTTTAAAAAAAAAAAAAATTCTTTTGTAACTGTTAATAACTTGATGGACAAAATAGTTGTTACCTTCAATGAGTGAAGTATTTTAATCAGAGCTCTATATCTGAACAGCTTCCCTAGAAGCTCCTTATTCTCCTGCTGCAGTGCTTTAAGGAAAAATAAAGATCTGGGGCAAATTCCAAAGGTTATTTTTGCTTCCTTTTGCTGCTCTCCTAGCCCAAATTTTGCTGAACAACTCTATTGTTCCATTGGCAAACTATCCCTGAAGTTTTTGCCGATCCATAGATTTCCTGGAGCCGTGAACTGTGTGCCAGTTCAGATGGAATTGCTCCCATCCCTCTTCTCCGAGCTCCAAACCATCCTGGCCAGCTCATATAGATGGCTGGCTGGAAGCTGATTTCAAGGTCTTGGAAACTGTATCTGCATTATTCAATGTCTTTTGTAGGGAACAGGACCTAAGGTACTGCAGGAGCTGTGTCACACAGCTTGGCTCCTAGAAACTCCCTTTCTGCTATTCTTCTGAGCTTATTAGGGCTGCTATGCAGAAATAAACTCAACTCCTCCAAAATGTTTCGTGTAAGAAGGTACTGGAATTTTGTATTCTCTGTCTAAGACTGTCTGATATCTCTTTGGGTTTCTGGAGATTATAAACATCATTATGATTCTGTGTTCTATGGTACCAACACCCCCTGAGCCCAATTCCAACCTCCTCTATAGTCTATGACACTCTGAATTCTCCCAGCAATTTCTAAGCTGCTTAAAGCCCTTTCTACTGATAATCTCTGCTTGCAAGGTCTGATTTGGCCAGAGGTTTTTTGGCCTGCCCCCCTTTTTTTTTTTTTTTTTTTGGTCAAAATACAGGTTTTGCATTGAAGTTGCTCGTCTCCTCATTAACCTTTTTTGACTTGCATGTCTGCTTTTGTTGCAACTGGAACCCTGCATGTTTACTGATCCAAAAAGATGTCACTTACAAATCATCCCACCATGGCATGTTCCTTTTTCTGTTTTCTGAACTAACTCTTGTTTAACTGAAGTCTTTTTGACTTGACTTAGTTGTACTGGCCATTTTTCAGAGAGCAGTGCTGGTTTTCAGCCTTGGTTTAGCAGAAATACTAACAATTTCTTTTTGGAAATTGGATCTTTTTAATAATACCCTTTGCATCTGATCAGGAGGCTAATTTAGGAGTAATGATGGATATTCTACTTAGGAAGTTGATGGAAAAGATTAGTATTTCTGTATTTAAGTACTGTTTGTTACCAAGAGAAAAACAGCTCCTTCTACAGCTTTTGGAAATGTGAAAAAGCTTTTGCTAATAACTGTATTTTCTACCAGCGCTTTGCTTGAGAGTATTTTCTTTAAACTTTGTTCTCTGTATCACATTGCCAAAGCTCATTTGGACTTCTTTGCTTGTTTTCAAGCCATAGCCAAATAGACTTTTTCTTTGGATGACAGGATTATTATAAATTATCAAGACCAGGCCCATCATTCCTGGACTAGTACAGCTAATATTTTTTACTACTCTTACCTGGGGACATGGAAAATCAGTAGTTTTGGAGTGAGATTATTTTTACCTTTTTTTTTTTTTTTTTTTTTTTTATTTGCTTCCATGTGCAATCATATGAAAAAATGCCTTTCCAAAACATAGGAACAATATTTTGTACAACAATGGATGAGCAGGGGCTCTGTGTGTTCCCAAATAACACTGCTACCAAGTGAGTGACTGGTTTCAGACCACGAATCCAGAGTGGCCTTGGCTAATGGCACTGTCCCAGTCCCAATCCCTGCATTCCTGCCCTTCCTTTTGTCCTGGCTCCTGTGCCCTGGGCTGACCCACCTCCATTTGATAAACAGGAAGAAGACTGATCTAACAACAGTAAAAAGTGAATAGTTCCTGCTTGCTTGTTGAAGTAGTTTGGCCTAGAGCCCAGTGGAAAAGGACCACTGGAAAAGGAACTTATAACCAGACAGAGACAGCAAATGTGAGATCACCTGCACTTGATTCACTTCCTTTTTAGTACCTTTTGTGTCTGCTCATACTTTAGATGATCTGCTAGAAACACAGCTGCCTCTGTAGCAGCCAGCAGCTCATCAGGAATTCAGCCTGCTTATTATTATAATGTGCTTTAGATCAAGAGTGAAGGAGAAGAGGGAAAGAGAAGTGAGATACCTTTGGAAGGATTCAGCTTCTCTGCCTGGCAGAGTTGAAAATACTGCATTTGTGGAATTTTTTAGGGGCTTTCTGTTTCTTTAGTAATACTAGACAAAAATTATTGGAAAATATCTTCTAAAGACACAGTTTTTTGGAATTTAGCATGTGATTATCCAGTTAGGTATGTAAGGATCCTGGCCCATGTTATGTGCTTAGCAGCAGTGCTGCCCAGGTCTGATCTGTGCTGTGGTCCTGTAACACTCAGCAGTGGGTGACAAAACAGGTTACAACATCCAGGACAGCAAGCCCTGAAGTTCTTCAGTTAGCATCCCTAAGCACCTCTAATGTCAGATTAAATATAAGGTTTGGGTTGCTTTTTTTTTTACCTTAGTTGCTTTTTGATTGATTTTTAATCCATTCAGTTAACATTTTCAGTGGGGTTTTTTCTTGAACTATAAGGCTTTTAAGAGTTAGAATTAAAATTTTTGGTTGTTTATGAAATAGATATTTTCATGTAATTGTAAGAGTTGGAGCTTTAAAAAAAGGATTAGCCATCACAAGACTAGGTCAGGTAGCTTTACAAGCTAAATATTTGAGTACTGCTAAGGTGGCATGAATGCAGAATTTGCATATTTTCAAGTCCCTTATTTCTTAATATGGAATTAAAGTGTAAAGGTTAAATACAAGTATTTTTCTCAATTTAATAATAATAATAATAATAAAATAATTTGGCTTTTCGTCAAGACCTATGGCTAGTATGCCAAAAGACATAAATACAGAGTATATGTTTGAAGTATCTGAGGGTATAATTTGTTTAAATATCAAGTGAAAGCCCTCTCCTGGTACTTGCTGGCACAGATGGTTTTTGAATACTGAGCTTCCAAAGGCAGCTTCAGGGCTAGTTCAGTGAATCACTGCTTATTGAAGACAGTCATTTTAGGGATAAGAAAAAGCCCTCTTCCTCACACAGCAGCAGAGCAGTCATCTTAAGAATATTCAGCAAACTATCCCAAACACCATCTTTCAAAATGTGCAAGACCATATGTTGGGCCAGTGCTCAAGGGAGATCTGATACTCTGGGTGTTATCCACTATATTCCAGCCATTATATTAATCAAGAAAGATAATGTTCTTGCAGATGTGGAAAGTCCCAAAACTAAGAGTTACAACAGAGATGTTTTGTGTAGAGCAAAGCTAATTACTGAAGTGATTGCGAGATGTATTTTGGGTATGAGGCACCACATTTTGTAATTAAATTAATCTTTCAGATGGTATAATTTGAGTATTTTAAAGCTGTTTTCGCGTTTAGGTTTTGTACAAAACATGATTAAGATTGTGGTTTAAGACACTGAAATTTGTGTTGTACCAGAGGCAGACATAGAGAAAGTTACTTAATATTACTGTCTGTTAGGTCTTTATACTTTTAGTAATTCCTGATTCCCTAGTGGAAATGTAAGGATGGATTCAGGATTATGTGGGAAGCACTTGGGTATGTGCTATAGTTGGAAAAAAGTACTTTTGACTGCAGTCTCTCTTTGGTTATGCAGTACTGAA